TGGGGCTGCGCCCCAGTGGGCGGGGAAAGCCGCAGCCACGGCCAAGGTCTGGCCCGTGCTGGTGGCCTGCGGTAAGCCCGAAGCCGGGGAGCTTCCCGGCAGAGCTGCCTTCTGAGCAGAGCCTTGGAGCTGGGCAGTCGCGGCCGAGGTCTGCTGGCTCCTCACGGCCAAGTTCTGCACCTGGAAACACACACACACAAAACAGAGTCCGTCTGCTTTACGTGCGTTACTTGCTGGAAGTTTGGCAGAGAACGCACAAGCAACGCACGCTACCAAAGTCGGTGCTTCAGGTCTCCCATGGGGAGCTGGCTGACACTGCAGGTCAAAGCTCAGGCACGGCTCTCCCCAGGGAAACAGATTGTCCTGAACCCCCTCCTGACCCATCTCTGATGGAAGTTAAAGATCTCGTGGCACTTTCTGAACAGCACCTGAGGACACCACCATTCTCCGAGGCATGGGGCAACCTTCAGACCTGCCTGCCCTTGCATTGGTAGGACCCAGTTCAGCGTGGCTCTAAAAGTGCTGAGATACCTCTTTCAAGACCAGTCATCCCTTTTCGGTTGCAGTGCCAGCTGCCCCCTCCCCCTGTGCAGGGCTTTCCACTTAGCAGGCCCACAGATCTACTCATGGCCTGCAGCCCTTCTGATTTCACCAGTTCCTCCGCATTTTGGTGCCGCCATCCTCCGTATTTACTCCTCCTCCAAATGCAGTGTTATCTTCAAGTTTGGTCATGGGTGACTTTCCTTCAAAGAAAGTGCTCCAGACAAAAAAAATATGAAGTTAACTGGAAATCCCAAGAATGACTGGGACAGGACAAGGAAAATGAGAAGCCGTGGCAGCTCCCTGACCTGCAGAATTGCTTATAGATGAATGAAGGAGCTAAGACCTTGTGGCCTGTTCTAAGACCTTGTGGCCTGTTCAGTCTTTGGCATCTTTACAACAACAAACCAAATGGGTGAAGGAGTACTACCACCAGCAAAGACTCCTCACTGCAGAGTGACTGCAAACTGGACATAGAACTTCACCATTCTTTTCACAAGAGGACAACTGAGAAACTGTGAAGACGGGATTGATCCAGCCTGTGGCTCACCCCAGAAACTTTCAGGAGAAACTCTGGAGGCAAAAAAGCAAACATGAAGAAAAGGCAGCCAGAGAGAACAGAACCTCTTGCCTGCACAGAGACACAGGATGGGGACAAAGCAGAGCTAATCTGCCACACAGGGACGGCTGGAGACAAAGACCAGAGCGTGGGGTGACGGAGAGCAGGGGAAGGGGAGGACTCCGGGAGGGGGTGTCACTGACCTGGTCTGTGTCTGCATGGACCCCAGGAGGCTGAGTGGGTGGTACCTCCTGCTGGACAGCCGCCACAGCCCCGTTGGGCATCAGGATGAGTTGGGAGGCAAGAGGCACATTGCGGCCCAAGGTCCGGTTTACCTGCAACAGGTTCCCCAGCTGTGGCTGTTGAGGGAGGGTCAGGTGATGTGGAATGAAAGGAACAGAGCGGGAGAGAAAGACAGACAGCGAACCACAAGCAAACAGATTACAAAGCAACACTGGGCTGCAATGTCACGCATTGCAAAACCCCCAGCCCTCCCTGCGCTGTATCACTGACCATCACCCTCAGGAACGGGAAAATGGGAACAGTTTCCTCAGGGAAAAAAAGCACTTTTGTACCAAACACAGGCCTGGGCCAACACCAACCGACTGCCCAAGCCTGGCTAAAAGACTAGGGTATCATTTAATTTTCAGATGTATATCCAGGACTGGCTGAGAAACAGTGATAGAAGACATACATCCAAGACCACGGCTGCTTGAAAAGAAGGGTATTACAATTTGTGTCTAAAGTCAACTGAGACGCAGAAAATATTTTTCGAGCAGGTAACCAAACCCCAGACTGACTATAGTCGAGCCTAATGTTTTCTATTTAGCAGCACTTCAAACCGATTACAAGAACGAGATATTTGTTCATGTTGATTTACATTTCTAGACTTACTTGAATTCTGACTTACATCCCTGAGCTCAGCAGCAGTGGAAGAGAGTAATTTAGCATATATCTGTTCCAGCATTGAACCAGAAGAGTAGCTTTATTTCTGTGAGCTATATTCAAGTCTAGGACATATATTTCACATTTACACTCTAGTGAGAAGTGCCATGGGATCTTTAACATCTATGCAGAGCAGAGACAAACATGGTTCTTAGGAATCTCACCCGAGCCACATAATACAAAGCTCATCTGCCCTCAGAAGCTGCGCCCAGAGTCAAACTTGTGGTTTCAGCGACAAGAGCTTCCCCCTCTGACTTTAATATAGTGCATCATCCTCAACGCCAGAGTTAGTCCCAAAGTGCTGGTAATCCCAAGCAGAGAAACACTGAAGTGGCTAGGAAGTGGGGTTCACGGTCAGGACAAATTTTGCGTACACATCTCTTACCCGGAGATACATCTGGGCCTGCGACTGGTTGAGAGGCGGTGAGGTGGTGTTCCCAAGGAGCACAGACTGTGTCAGGGTCGTGGCGCTGGGGGAACTCACGCTCTGCGACCGACTGATCAGCTGAGCCGCCGATGTGGTGGCTAGGTTGATCTTAAAACAGAGAAAAGCCCCAGGTGATATAGGAAGAGATGGAGGCAAAGAAATAAGTACAAATTCACTTAGTGGGGTACAGCCAGAACAGACATTTTACAGTTTTTTCCTCTGTCCCACAGGGGATCAAGAGGAAAAAAGTCTTAGAGGGCCTATCTTAGAGGCTACACAATCTAAACTAGCCAGAGCCCTGGATGCTAACCTCATTTGTATGCTGAGCCTGAGTATCACTGTTTGCATGCAACTGCGGTAAGGGATCCAAAAGAAATACATCATTTTCTCCAGCCTCTCAAGTAAAGGAAAAAAACCCACAAAGTAATCTCTAGCCTACCAACTCATCTACTCTCAAACATATCCCAGTTCCTCAACACTCACTACAAAACCAAACTTCCTCTCATTCAAGAAACTACTACTCTGCCCAAGAAAAAAAGAGCATTCCCTTTCAAGCTGCTCATGACTCCTTCTCCTTCTTAGGAGTCCTGATCCTTTTCTAATCCGTGACAACGTATCCCCAAAGCCTCAGCAAAAAGAGTTCAGTGTCTGCCTTTCCAGCTAAGAGGCCTCTCCCACTCAGAAACCTTCTCTGGTCTCCTCAACCCCCATCAATAATGATAGCACCCTAAATCCTCAAAGTTGGCTGCATCTTGCGGATGCCCAGCGTTCTTTGGAGCTGTGTTTCGCTGGCTGACTGCCGTCGTAAAAGACAAAGAGGAGCAAGAGCAATGTGGGGGATGGGAGGGAGGCTTTGATATGTGTGTGAGGGAGAAATTACTTACAGAGGCCTGGGTGGTGGTGGTCTGTTGCGGGGTGCTGGTGTTGGGGGAGCTGGCCTGTCTACTGGCTGCAATCGTAGCCTGCAAGGGAGATTGACAGAGAAATGAGCACATGAAACAAACTTTTCAATCCAAGGCCAAATATTTGGCTTTGTCAGAACACCTTGTCTCATTGTCAACATCTTCTCCCATTCCCAAGAAAAGGGGCACAATCTAACCACTACAAACCCCTGCCATCCCCTACAAATCAGGTGCAGCAACTCAGCAAGGTACGTCCTCTTCCCCAACCAGTTCAGTCCTACACAACACCCAAGGCAGTGGACAACAGACCCTTACAGTGCACGACTTCCAGTCCTTCCACCCACGAGTACCTACCCTACCACCGCCCCAGCTTGTCACGCTACACACCGCAACCCTCATCCTGATGCTGCAATCCACTCTGGTAACACCCAGACGTTCCCCGCAATATTAGCAATGTGCTGGGCTGGTTAGGCAGTTTAGTAACAACGCAATGACAGCATTCCAAGCAACAAATTTCAGATTACAGCACACACAGTTTGTGAAGGAATGTAAATATTGTTTGACTTTCCCCCGCCCCCCACTGCCTCTATGGGAATTCCACTGTATGAGTTTAGTTAGTTTTATAACTAAGAGTCATGCGAATCACAGAATGGTAGGGGTTGGAAGGGACCTCTGGAGATCATCTGGTCCAACTCCTCTGCTAAAGCAGGGTCACCTAGAGCAGGCTGCACAGGACCATATCCAGGCAGGTTTTGAACATCTCTAGAGGACACTCCACAACATCTCTGGGCAGCCTGTTCCAGTGCTCTGTCACCCTCAAAGTAAAAAAGGTCTTCCTCGCACT